GATAACCTTGAGTTCTTATCTATGACGAGAGGAAAACCCTAACCTTGAACATAAGCTTGCCACCAAATTCGAACCAAGGAAGTGATAACACCCTAGGCCTTTGATGCCTGACAACTCTTGAAGAATATAAGCCTGAAACTTGATAATTTGATTCAAAGAAACTCTCGATCCCATGTCCTGGATAACTAATGCAACGTATGAACGGTGACCTAATAATGATGCAAAGATGAACGCGAAGTAAAAGCCAGTAAAAGTTAGAAAAAGGCGAGGGCAAATTTTGGGGTGCTACAGCTGACCCTATTCAAACAACTTGGACTTGAAGGTATGAAAAGCAAACGCTTTCAAACATTTAAGGTAAAAGGTGATTGAATACAAAAGAACCCAAAAATTTGCAACCTGTGGGGATGTACACAGTGCAAAGATTGCCAGCCGAAGGTGGACTTAAAGGTAGCGGGTACCAACCAAAAGTTAGGATAATCGGCACGGTACCTGATCAAAATGACAACAATGGTTACTGACCAAAAGTCAGGATCGCCAGAGAGTTAAATCCGAAAGTTGTGAGAAACAAGCTACTAATCAAAAGTTAGGATCACCCAGAAGATTACCAACCAAAAGGCGGAATCGTCAATAAATAAACTGATAACTAACAACTAAAAGTCAGAATCACCAGAACGTCTACTGAATGCGAACTTGACCGAAAACGAGATCTAGAGTAAAATTGTATTGTTCATATTAATTGTAACACTTACACTTATATGTAATTCACTAATAGTCTTAAGGATTAATTTAAAAATAAAAGTTTGTTCACTAAAGAATTATAGATACCATAGGGAATCAATAACCATACTGAATAATAGATTTCAACAGCATTAATTTAGAATACTACGTAGAAACAACGTAAATCTTATCTCTAAGATATTTCATTATCGTATTAAATTGAAAAATAATCAATTTTAATTCTAGTATAAATGATCAAACAACACAACCAAACCATTTTTCCAGCTGAATTATAAAATTTAACTCAATAATATTAATAGTCATTGAACTCGATACTCAATAACTCTAACGTTCTTACAAACTTACAAGATTTAGTACACTTGATAAAGTCACAATCAGATTTATATGAAAAATCACTAAAGATAAAGACCAGTTTAAAACTAGTATCAGAAAACCTCTATTGTAATTTTAGTCTTGAAATATATATAAATGAAATATATATAAAGTGGATATATCAACTTATTTCAAGAGTAAGTTTTTTTTTTTTAATTTAATGTAAATCATAACCTTTTAATTGAATCTAATTTAATGATTAGATTAACCTTTTATTTAATTAATCATTAGATTAGATTCAATTCAAAGGTTATGATTTAAAATAAGTTAAAAAAACGTACTGTTTGAGTAAGTTGATCCCCACTCTCATATATATATATATATATATATATATATATATATATATATATATATATATATATATATATATATATATATATATATATATATATATATATATATATATATATATATATATATATATATATATATATATATATATATATATATATATATATATATATATATATATATATATATATATATATATATATATATATATATATATATATATATATATATATATATATATATATATATATATATATATATATATATATATATATATATATATATATATAATAACTTATCTTTTCAAATTAAATACAAAATTAACCATGTTTTCAAATAATTTACCAAAGTAACGTAGTTTCAGAGGGCAAGACCAAGGATACACCAAATGAATGGTGCATCCCTTTAAACGTGTTCCTATGCGCCATTCCATATAGTTCATTCATGTCCACCAAGTCATTTCATATGGCGCCTCCACTTTGCATTCATATACATGCACCATATGAAATGGCGCATCATCGTTTTTTTTTTATTATTAAAATCATCTGTGTATACGTCATTTCAAGTGGCTACTACTACACAATTCCTCTATAAATACTGCACCACCTTTTCTTCATTTTTTTCTGCATCAACTTCTCTTCATTACCTTCTCTTCATTTTTCTCTGCATCAACTTCTCTTCATTTTTCTCTGCACCACATTCTCTTCATATTTCTCATTCCTTCCATTTTTCTATGGCTTCCTCTTCTTCCTCCTCATATCTCTATCAGGTTCCATATATCCACAAGAGAAATGTCAATTTAATTTTCTCGCTAGTCAAACCTCCAACCAATATTCGCCTATGGAATACAATGACATTAGAACATCTTAACAGGAGTCTGATCTGCTGGTTAGATGGAGACATTCTAGAGGGTGAAAAGATCAGAAGAATTCAAAGGCTTGTTGCCATGTTCAACCAAAATGGAGAAGTTCGTTTCTGCGAGAATGTTACAATTGACAATGATGTTCATACGTTGATGTATAGTTTTCATAAAATTATCTTGATGGTTGTAGTCGCTTAGTTATGCTGTTTAGCCGTTATGTTTGTTTGTTTTGATTTTTTAATTGTTTAAATTATTGTTAATTGTTGTTTTTAAATTATTGTTGTTGAATGTTATGAAATTTATGGAATGAAAGTTATTGTTAATATAAAGAGACAATGTTACATTTAAAATTATGATGTTGTGCTTGATCCAACATTGAGACATTTTGTACGATTGTGCCCAGGCTGACGGCACGAACTACATAACCTTACCATTTTGTTTGTCGTATCCATCTCCCGTTTGAATACGCGTGCTATTAGGGCGACCCTTTTTCTTTCTTCGCATAATTTCATTGTGCCAGACAATTTCGCCTTCATATGTAGGTCAATAGTCCCCTTTGTAGTGCAATATTTTATTGTACTGGTGTATGATAGCATTGTAGTGCATTAAAATGTTAGCTTCATGTGTATTAATAAATGTCTAGTTTCATGTAATCGAGTTTTTAATATATTATTGTCTTGTCTCAGTGGTACATGTGTATTAATATTTTTAATATAAAATTATTATGTGTTTTTTAACTATACAGACATTAGTCTTGTCACAATTATATATGTTTTAGTTTTGTCTCAATTATATCTTCTTACATGTATTAGTCTTGTCTCATTTATATCTTCTTATCTCATTCCATTCATTAGTCTTGTCTTCTTTTATATCTTCTTATCTTCTTCCATGTATTAGTCTTGTCTCCTTTATGACTACCAAGATCCTATTATTGTCTTCTTATAGCATACATTACTCTTGTCTCCTCTATGCATGCATTATACGAATTTCTTAATTTTTTCTTACACTATTTACTTACTATTTTCTTACGTCAATTTCTTACACTATTATCTTGCATGCATTACTAAGATTCGCATGTAACATGCCTACAAGATAGCCTTGTCTCCTAGTCTTACATGATATCACATCTGTTAAAGAGATTCACATGCATTTGTAAGAGATGCCTTACACAATGATTCCTCTCATGCAAAAGAGAGAAAGCACAATTTCATTTGGTTTCATTAAGAGTATGGTTGCATCTCTCCATAGTTCTTTCTAACTTAGTTTCTTTATATATTTTGTCAAGATGTAATGAGATTTCGATGTCGTGTACATGACTATATACCACACAATCCAATCATACAACCATACCTTTCATCATGCAGTTTCGGTCATTTGATAAATATCACTTCGTACTCGATTGACGCCAAATTTATTTTAACTTTGCTAGAACAATGGAGACCCGAGACCCACGCATTTCACCTTCCATTCGGTGAATGCACCATCACATTGGAAGATGTGTATATGTTGTTGGGCCTACACATCGATGGTAAGACTGTTAACGACAAAGTTAGGGTTGATAACCAAATTTGTGAAGATTTGTTGGGTGTTCCTTTTTGTGAAGAGACAAATCCGACACAATGTGCAGGTCAACCAAGGGGTCAAGGTATAAATTTAAAATACCTTAGAGAATATTATAACAATATCACATTAGACGACGAATCCACTGAGTATGATAAGATAATTAAAACTCAGTGTTATATTATTATTTATTTGAACATTTTTTATTTCATGAAAGTATTGGAAATACGGTAAATATTGCGTAGTTGTCGTTGTTACGCAACATTCATAAAGTAGGCACTTATAGTTGGGGTTCACCTATTTTGCCTCATCTATATAGTGTCTTGTGTAAAAATGCAAAACAAAAAAAAAGATAGTTGTACTGCGCCTTTCTACTTCAAGCATGAGGTTGGTCAAGAATGCTGACACTCACTCTGGTTAACCTGAATCCATACACATTCCCCTGTGCTAACAAGTTTATTTTAAAATATCAATCATGTATACTTTGATAAAAGGTTTATTTGTAACTAATTATTTTTCTCACTTTTTTTTATTTAGGTGGTCAGTTCTGGGAATGAATTACCAACAGTGTCCCCAAAACGCAATAATCGTATATCACAATTTTTTAGACCACATTGGACCGAACGATGTAATTTTTTTTAAACTGCCGTAAATTGGCTATAAAATTAACACACTGCAATTCTTCTCATTATATATATATATATATATATATATATATATATATATATATATATATATATATATATATATATATATATATATATATATATATATATATATATATATATATATATATATATATATATATATATATATATATATATATATATATTTTTGTGTGAGATGAAATAGATAGTAGGCTTATGGACAGAAAATAAACCAAAAAATGAGACAAACTAAGAATATAATATAACATCATCATTGTCGCTCATAATATAAATTATAATTAAAATGTTTATCTTATGATCGTGTGTACCAATGAGGAATAACGACACCGGCTTTACATATTCTAAGCAAACATAGTTGTTGTTTGTTTTCATCCCACAACTTCATGCCATTTGGTATCCTTAATCCCATCGATCTATGTCTTCTTCTGTCTCTCACAAACAAAAACACAACTATTCATATTTATATATATCTCTATATACTTCAACATTAACATGTTCAACAAAAACTAATGGCATTGGTGATGATGCTTCCTCAAACAAATGATTCACAAGATACTACTATTATCAAACTTGAATCAGCATATTCTGATTTAGAATCACTTCTTCAATCATCAAAACAAATGGAACAAAACATCGAAACAATGGAAACAAGGTTTGATCTTTTACAAGGATCAATCACAACAGCATCAAGAAGAATCAATCCTTTACAATCCTTATCCATGTCAAGAAAAGCACTTGATACAAGAATCAATAGAGCGATTTCCCCGGCTCTTGCTCTTCTCGAAACATTCAAACTCGCGGAATCGCTTCAAAACAATCTCCTTAACCTCTCTTCAAAGCTATCATCAGAAAACTCACATCAAAGAGGCTTCAGAAGCTTCTAGATTACATGGATTGTGTTGATCAGTTGAATTTAGCTATAAACTCTATATGTCAAGTTGTTGAGCCGGTTATTATGAGGCTTCAAGAAGTTGTTGAGTTTATAAGTAGAACAAAAGCTGCTGATCAATATAGAACACAGAGGTTAAGAGAAGCACTTATTACTCTTAAAGCACTTTATGAAACTGAGGTTGATGAAATGAGATTTGAAGGGTTGTTGGATCAGGCTTTGCTTCATATGCAAGATGAGTTTGAGGCTCTTTTGCTTAAGTTAAAGCATAGGAAGTTGGGTGAATTTTCACACATGCAACATGTTGGTGATGAGAGTGATGATGATTTCAAGGTTAGCTTTGAGCTTGGATCTGAGTTGGAAATCGAAGTTCTGAGAAGAATTTCAAACATTCTTGCTGCTAATGATTGCTTAGATATTTGCATTGACATCTATGTTAAGGTAAACCCCTTGTGAATATCTATAACCTTGTTCACTATACCTCATCGCCGTCTCAAGTTTTTGCAGGTCTCGTGTAGGTTAACTGCAGTTTAACCATTGAAAAATAAATATAGACCGTGATCAGATCAGCGCCAATTTGACAAAAATAATGGAAAACAAATATGAGTTGAGTTGCGAGACACTCGTAATTGTTTTCTCTTATTTTTACCAAATTGGCACGTATCAGATCGCTAATCATTACGATAAAGAAGATTGTAACATCAATTGGCCTTGAAATTTCGATTGATTTTCAAAACTTGCCTTGAATGTATATGTTACATATCTCAAACTTGTGATTAATTTTATTGTGATGATGATTCAACAGGTAAGATATAAAAGGGCTGCAAAAGCATTGATGAAGTTAAACCCTGATTACCTAAAAACATACACCCCAGAAGGAATTGATGAAATGGAATGGGAAAACTTGGAAACATCAATAACCCTTTGGACACAACATTTTGAAGTTGCAACAAAGAAAGTTCTTTTATCAGAAAAGAAACTTTGCGAAAGCGTTCTAGGCGAAATCATCGACGGACTAATCCATCCAGAATGCTTCGTAAAAATATCGGACAAGATCATGGCCGTGTTCTTTCGTTTTGGAGAAGGCGTAGCCCGAAGCAACAAAGAGCCACAAAAACTGTTCAAACTATTAGACATGTTTGAATCATTGGAGAAGCTCAAACCACATGTACTTGAAATATTTGATGGAGAATCCGGTGAAGATATCTGCGCGCGGTTTCGCGAGCTAGAGAAGCTAATCATTGATGCATCAAGCAAAGTTTTTTGGGAATTTGGATTGCAAATAGAAGGAAACGTCGACGGGTTTTCTTCCACCTCCACAAGACGGTTCTGTTCCAAAAATAGTAAGATATGCTGTTAACTATCTTAAGTACTTATCCACAGAGAATTATAGAACAACAATGGCTAAGATTTTAAGAACAGAACAAACATGGAAAACCGAGTTGATGGTATCATCGAAACACGAAACAGATGAAGATTTATTGAAGTATGCTATTAGTAATGTAATGGAAGCGCTTCAAAGAAACATCGAATCCAAACGATTGAGTTCAAAAGACAAGATTTTGATGAATATTTTCATGATGAACACATATTGGTATATGTATATGAGAACAAAGAACACAGAACTTGGTGATTTGTTGGGTGAGAAATATATAAAAGAAAATTACAAAGCTGTGGCAGAAGAAATCAGCTTACTTGTATCAGAAGCAAGCTTGGTTGGTTTTGGTGAAGATTTTGGATCATGACATTGATTCAAAGGAGCAACAACAAGGGAAGGAAAAAAGAATTGGAAGGTTAGTGAATGAAAAGATTGAGACATTTTTCAAGTGTTTGAGTGAGATTTGTGAGAGGCATAGGAGTTTTTATAGTATACCAGATGTTGATTTGAGGGAACAAATGAGGGATGCAACTGTGAAACTTGTTGTGCCAATTTATGCTGAGTTTTTGGAGTCTTATTCCGGATTTTTGCAAAGGAAAGCTTATCCTAGTCCTCAAAGGATGCAAGGATTGCTTGGAAAAGCTTTTGGTTCAAATATTGATTGGAATTTGAATGGTGGTCGTAACTCTGGTTCGTTGGAAACTGATATCAGACGGTCTAGATGAGATCATGAAGTGCATGTTTGGAAACATCGCGAGTTTGATCAAATTTAGTGTGTTTCCAAAACAAGCGCGGATTCATGCATCTTCAGATGCAATTAGTTTTATGTTTGTTAATGTATGTATCATGTATGTACTTACTAATGTGTTTCTTTATTGAAGTAAAATGAACCAAAGTTGATACATTTGTTAAACGTCTATTCAAGTATACTCGACATTGTCTCTCTTCCATTGGTCATTTTTTGTTTTATATGTTCAAAGTTTTAATTTTTCTAAGTTCAAATTTTCAAGTTAATAATATTGGAGGTCGTGTTGAGTTTCTGTTATGTATTCAGTTTCAATTTTTCAAATGGTCATTGTTATGTATTCATTTTCAATTTTTCAAATGGTCATTGTTATGTATTCAATTTCAATGTGGAGGTGAACCATTGTCGCAATGAGGAGCGCAATGCCTCCCTAGTAGCTCTTGAGCTCTTCATGTTTGTGAATCAGCTTTGACATGAACATACTCGTGGATAGTTCTGGGGTGGCTGCATTGCAACACTTTTAGTTGTGTTGTTATTTTAGTTGGAATCTTGTTTTAGTTTTCTTCTTGTGGGGGGTACTAGTGTTTTTGTTGTTGCGGCAAATTGGGAATATTCAACATGAGTTTGTCATGTTAGGTGCACCAAACCAAGCTTGGAGTTGTTGGAGATCATGAGAGTGGTGGAAGCAAAGTGTGAGAAGGAGAATGGTGAGGTTGCACCGGAGGAAGTGAAAAGTGAGGCAAACTAATCGGACCCACCGATGGAGGAATCTAATTAACCAGTCTTCAAAAGTGATGGTTGAGGAATTATCATTGAAGACCGAGGATCTTGTTGCAGAGGACATTCTTCGTCGACGAGAGAAAAGAATGGATGAAACACTGTCTTGAAGTATGTGGATAATTGATTAGAGATCGTTGATAGCACTGTGTATGAGATAGTAGCATAAAAACAATTACAGTTCCTTATTTGGAGGCTAACTTAGGCAAATAGTTACATAGCTTTACATATACATTTATGTATGTCAATATGAAAGGATCACCATGCACATAAGTAACTAACTCTTACACCATCCACCATGCATTCTTTGCTATATATAGGTGGCTATGGTTTTGTAAATGATGAGAGAGATTGGATGAATAATATAAGAAACACATTCTATCATGGTATTAATCATCGAGTCTCTCTCTCTCTCTCTCTCCTCTCTCTCTCTCTCTCTCCTTTCTCTCTCTCTCTCTCTCTCTCTCTCTCTCTCTCTCTCTCTCTCTCTCTCTCTCTCTCTCTCTCTCTCTCTCTCCTCTCTCTCTCTCTCTCTCTCTCTCTCTCTCTCTCTCTCTCTCAAACATTACTTTGTTACAAAACTAACTTTCGCTCTCTTCTTCATCTTTTTCGTTTGCCTTCATGGAAGAATCTTCCAATGTTACATTGACTGCACCAGGCCAGAGACGTTCGTCAATCGTCACCGAACGTGGTGTTTTCTGCACCTCATTCATCCACTTCACAATATTTCGGTATGAAGCTTTCAATCAAATATCAGGAGAGCAATTACTTG